CTAGACTATAGACTAGACTAAGACTAGAATATAACTAGACTATAGACTAGGATATAGACTAGACTAAGAAACTAGACTATAGACTAGACTATGGACTAGACTATAGACTAGACTATAGACTAGGACTATAACTAGACTATAGACGAGACTAGACTATAGACTAGACTAGACTAGACTATAGACTAGACTAGACTATAGCTAGGACTATAGAGATATAGACGATACTATAGACTAGATATGTCCTAGACTATTAGACTTGACTAGACTATTAGGACTAGACTATAGACTAGATTAGACTATAGGATAGAACTATAGACTTAAACTATAGACTAGGACTATAGACGAGACTATCGACTAGGGACTATAGACTCGACTATAGAATAGACTATCGACTAGGCTATCGACCAGACTATAGACTAGAATATAGACTAGACTATAGACTAGACTTATAGACTAGTCTATAGATAGACATAGACTAGACTATAGGACTAGACTATAGACAGATTAGACTAGACTATAGCTAGACTATAGACTAGACTATAGACAGGTCTATTACATTCGTGACAAGTTCAATGTAAATTTCGAAAATGCGCAAATTGCTCAGCGTGGCTTTTAAGCGATTATATGAAAACCCTTATTATCTACCTTAAGAATCTTATTAAAATCAATTCTTTGTCGAAAACTTTATATCGATTTTATGATGGGAAAATATATAATTAGATTACTGAATATATTTCTTGCTCATAGTATTTATATTTATCTCATCCCAAATTAAACGAAACTTTCTTATCTACAACAAATCTTTGTTTTCGATCATTTGATCATTGATATTAGTTGCCCCGTACTTTCTACATTTGATGATGCTATCAATTTATTTTAGTTCATTAAATCATATTTCTCCAATAATACAAAAATAATCATTTATTATGGGTTATTGGGACAAATAAATCATTTCTTAAAATGACTATAACAAACCCAATTTCAAATTTATAACTCTCACTTAAAGAAAACAACTACAAAATGACTTTACAAACAAAATATGGGTTGATATATCCCTCCTAGACAATTACGAAAAGGAAAGGAATAGTTTGCTTTAGTTTGGTTGGTCTGAGTTTAAATTTACTTTGGTTTATTTGCTGATGCATTCACAGTAGTAAAATATATTTTTATGTAGAGACTTAAAGCTAATATTAAAAAAAAAATAAAACCAAATATGTGATGTAACTCTAAAGAAGGAAAATACAAAAATAAAAACAACAAAATTAAATCATCTTTAAACTGTAAATGCAACATTCGAATTACTGCAGTTTAACATGTTAAATCACACACACACACCAATACTTGTATTCCTTCAACTCATCTGCACATAAAATTAACAGCCAACTAACCATTCAAGCAGCCAACCATCCATTCATCTGTCCAACCAAGCAATAGCAGCAACCAGAGCCATACTTATACATGGACTCGTAAAAAATCTTAAGTTTAAAACTTTGTTGAATAAAAAAAATCCACTTGTTACAGCAACTGACCACACAAACTGATATACATACACACTAACATATTTACATTTAAACCCTGGATACTATAGTTTCTTTTTCAAACCAAAATCCGAAATAATATTTCAGGTGGTAAAAGTTGTTGTTGTTGACTTATTTTATGCATCTTCTTATTTTGTAGTGAGAAAATTATTTATGTTTGTAGTAAACGAATGAGTGAGTGAATGTGTGTGCTTTTAGAGTAATTGGGTTTTTAAATTATTTTGAAAAGATATAAATAATATCAGCTATAATAGCAACAACATCACCAGAAAAAAAAGATGCAACATTTATGATATGAATGCATCTCGATGCGACTGTCTCACTAACGTTGTCTTTTTCTTCTTTTTGAGGTAATACGAGTTACTAGAGCTTTACTAATTGAATGTAGAAACAAAATATTGTATTAAAATATAAAATTTGTGTTAAAATATTTTCAACAAAAAAACAAGTTAAATATAATTACAGGCCTATTGGTTATGTGCATTGATAAGGAATTTTTAGTTGCTAATATTCAGAAAATAATATCTAACCAAATTATTTGCTTCTCATAATCAGTTTTGTGAAGTATCAACTTATCCGATTTTAAGTGTAAAATCAGAAATAGATAGTAACTTCATTAAAAAAAATTTAAATTAAAAAACGAGCTCATTTTATAATTATTCAAAAATCGAAATTTTTTTAAATTGTTCGTCTACAATTTAAAAAACAATACTTTTTTAAAATTTTGAAATTTTTAGATATTTTTCTTTAAAGCCCAAATATTTGTTTTTCTTTTTTTATAAAATTTTTTTCTTTTATTTTTTTTTCAAAAAAATTTAATTTCATTCATAAATATTTCTATCCCTGATTGCTGTTAACTGTTAAAAATCATTTGTGTAATAAAAAAACAAAACAACTAAAAAATTAATATTGCTGATTTTAAAAGCAGTTCTGATATTGAAGATTTGGCCTGTATATAAATGGTTGTAACTTCATTATGACACCCTTAAATTGAAGAAGAGTATTACCTTTGGCTATGCCGATTCTTATATAGCCACCATCAAATTATATGTCGCAAAGATAAAGTAAATTTTGGAAGGCCCTATATAAGGACTTTAATCATTATATTAATATAAACGTTGGTGTGATTTTTGGTATAGGTCCTTCAATGAGGGATAAGTTCTATTATGGACGAAACTGTCCCGACTTCAAAAATATATTTTTTTTGAATTCTGAAATAATTCTATCATAAAACAATGATTTATTAGCGATAAACTTCTTTTCTGTAAGAAGGTTTATATGGGGGACCGCTCCTTTGTTTCACAAAAATAGGTTTCAGTTCCAAAAAAAAAAAACTTTTTTGTGTCGAATTTCATTATTATAACAACATTATAAAACCAACTGAAGAGAACCTCATATGGCATTGGGTTGAATTATGCTTTAATCCTCATGTTCTTTCGTCCCACAAAACTTGTTCATGTCGAACTTCATCACCATACTATTATTATTTAGTCCGTAAAGTTTGTTAAAACCTAAGGCGGACCTTTTATAGGGGTAGGGTCAATTATGGACCGCTGCTCATTAAACTTAGTACCTATAGAGATTTCGGTAAGTCAGTTATGAACGTTAAAATCATTTTCTGAAGAGAACCTTAACATCGGCATATGATCAATTATGAACCAATCGTCATAATATTTGGTAGAGAGGATTTTAAAGCCAGTTATAAACGAAAAGTCATTTTCGGAAGGGGACCTTATATGGAGGATAGGATCAATTATGGACCATTCCTCAGAGGAACTTCAGTTTACATAAAACTCGTTTATGCCTAATTTCGTTGCTATATTAGAATTTTTAAATTTGTTATGAACGTTAAAGTCATTTTCTGATTTTCGTTACGATGGCATTTGTCTATATCGAATTTCATATATATATCATGGCATTTTTTAAATCGGCAATGATCGTTAAAGTAATTTTCTGTAGGGTACTTTTTATGGGGGATAGGAGCAATGATTTCTGGGTACATAAAATTAAACTTTGCAAAATTTAACCACAATTGTTGGCTAATTAACAGATTAATGATTAATTAACGGGTGGCCCCGGAATACAGTTTTCGCCCCTTCACAATACCAAACAGGGCCTATCAAAGAAGAATACTTATGCAAAATTTCAGCTCTCTAGCTTTTCTCGTTTAGGCCCTATCGTGCCTACAATAGACAGACGTATGGACATAATTGTATGGGTCTACGATCAATATTTCGATGTGTTACAAACGGAAGGACAAAACGAATATACCCCTCATCTTTTTTGATTGTGGGTATAAAAAGGAACTTATTTTGTAATCTGTCATACTTGCCCTGAAAAATGTTTTTTTGTCCAATTGCTGAAATTTCTTGTTCTTTAAAATAAGTTTATATTGAACAAGTAGTAAAGTATAGTCGGACATGGTCGACCACATGACACCCTACACCAGTTATAAGTATATATAAAAATTATTTATTATTTATTAACCCCCTTATTCACAAAGAAAATTTTTATTTTATAAACGGTTTATAAATTAGATTTTGTATGGAAATTTTGTTTTATAAACCTTTTATAAAATAAAAATGTTGTTTGTGAATAAGGGGGTAAAAATGTATGGATGAAAAACTAATTTTCAAAAGGTAAAACATGGACCGATCCTCATAAAGTATGAAGAAAGATTTTATTTTTGAATATAGTGCTATTTCGAGCTGAATTTCATCGCGATACTAATGGTTACAAGTCAATTATGAATGTTTAAGCCACTTCCTAAAGAAGAGTTTGTAATGAGTAACGATCATTTCAAAAATTGGCAGTGCCATTAATGCTTATATAAAAATTAGTTGTGTCAAGATCTAGTATATTTGACGTAGTAATGAGGGACGGACGAACATTTCTTAATCGTCTCAGAAAGTAACCCAACTCAAAAAATCGATTTGGATGAAATTTACACCAAGGTTAGTAGTCAAGAACTGCCGGACTTAAAGAGGGTCAACATTGGATATTTTGGTCATATAGGGCTTTATTCAAATGGGTGTAACTTTTCACCTATTGGCCGTAGCAAAAATTGTCCAAAGGGATTCAGATAGCTATTTCTTCAATATTTGTAATTATTTTTTAAATGGACACTTTTTTCTTTCCTATTATCCAATAGTACTAACCTTGGTTCAAATTTCACCCAAATCAATTTTTTGAATTGGATCACTAGACACGAAATTGCCCATATTTATATCCGTTCTAATAAAAATTACTTCAATTTTTATTTTGTTATTTATACATAGATGTTTTATTAATTATTTTATATATCGATCGTTTACGGTTTTTCTTTTAATAATTACATTTACTCGTATATGTATTGTATATAATAGGTGTTATTTAATTGTTTTAAATAAATACTTTAATTATATTTATGAATTTTTGTATATATTTTTTCATTGTTATTTTTTTGCTACATTAAAATTATTGTTTTCAGGTTACAATTATTTCTTCAGAATTTTATTTTTAGCATTTTTTTCTTTGACATATATTTGTTAAACATTGAATAAATTATTTTCAAATAGTAATATTTAATTTTTTTTAAAATCCCCATTTTTATTATATAAAGAAGCTTAAGGTTTTTAACACAACATTTTTATGAAAAAGTATAGGAGAGAGAGAGTGAGGGCGGGGTTACAAATGATGAACAATTTTTACATTGACATAATTTTCATAAATTCATTTAATTTTATATATGACATTTAATAGGAACTTTACAGTAAACAGCCTTTAAATAAAAAGTATGTTTTAATTATTAATTAAATATAAAAATAAAATAATTAACATTATACGACCTTCATTGACATTTAAATTTGTGATTTGCTTTTGGTAATAAATAAAATTATTTTTTCTTTTTGGTGGTGTAATTTTTTTTCACAAAACATTTTGCTTGCATTTTAAAATTTTTAACCAAAAAAGGAAAAATCATAAACTTTTTTTAAACATCTACTTTGTTAGATATTTTCCTTTTGCATTTTATTTGTAAAATGTTTGCCATATTAATGTTAGATTTTAATAGTAACGTCCATTATCGTAAATGCCACGTGGAGCATTATATTTCCTGGGTACATCCATATTATCCATATTACCGCCCAATTTATTCAACCAATTAGCACGTTGGGCTGCAGCAGCCAAAGTATTGCCATTTGCCTCATTTGGTGGTCGCTGTTGGACTCCACCATCTTCATTACTGGATTCCAAGATCTAAAAGATAAAAATGTATAATTGAAATTAGTTTACAGGTTTGTGTCAGTCGTAGCTAACAGAAACAAAGAAAATTGTATAAAAAACCCCATTTGCTCGTATCTAGTACTAAAGTGTTAATTAGGTACAAATTTATATGTGGGAAATTAACATTTTTGTACTTTTGTAATTTGTATGTACATTTATTTAATTTGGCTACGCTTATTGTTTGTTAGTGGCTTCTCAAAAATAAAATTTCATAATTTTCCCCAACAAATGCGAAATATATATATTTTTTTCCTTACAAATTATAGTACTAAGCCAGTATGTTAATTTTTCTTAACATCTGTTTCGTTTTTTCGTTAATACTTTTTCTTAACATTTTCATTTTATTGTTTTTTATGGAGGGATTTAAATGTGAGTTTCATCAACATGTTGCAAGTCTCGCTAAATCTAAATAAATATTTCACAGTTTTGTTTTGAAAACTGAAACCTCAGTCAGTAAATACGTTGTCGTAGACTTTTGCTTGTTACTCCTAAAATATCGTATATATGTAAGTACACGCGAGTATTCAGTTACAATTAATTCCACTTTAACCGCAACCACTACGAATACTATTACTGCTACTTACTCACTTGGTTGGTAGTTGGTTTGGTTGGCTCTTGGTTAATAATTATGTTAATAATACAAATTATGTGTAATAGAATGAGTTAAACTTGGCTTGTAGGATTATTTGCATATTGACTAAAAAATAAACAAAAAACATGGATATTTATTTATATACATTTTTTTGAAAGCAACTGTTTTTATATTAAAACACAAAACATTTCCAAATTAAAAAAAAAAAAAAACATGATGATTTTTTTTTTTTGACCACAATCTTTGTCGACCATCTAAATGCAAACTTGTCAAATTACCTGATGGTACGTTTTTATTCCTTTTTATTTTTAATGTCAACACTTAAGTAGGCTTTTTATTAAGAGGTTTATTATACGAGGGGTGTTTTTGCTTACATTTTTTTTAAGAAAAAACAGCACCAAATTAAAGAATGAAGCTTTTATGTAAACCATTTTAAAAAAGCTTATTTTAATATAAAAGATCTTAATGAAAGGGATTTTTTATTATAAAAGCTTTATAATGAAAAGTAATCTATTTTAAAAAAGCTTTTTCCTAAAAAGACTTTTTTTAATATAAAAGCTTTATAATGAAAAGTAAGCTTTATAATAAAAAGTAATCCATCTTAAAAAAGCTTTTTAGTAAAAAGGCTTTTTTAATATAAAAAAGTTTTTTTTTTAAAGAAAAGTAATCCATTTTAAAAAAGCTTTTTAGTAAAAAGACTTTTCTTAATATAAAAAATCTTAATGAAAGGCTTTTTAATATAAAAGTAAATCTTTCTAAAAAAGCTTTTTAGCAAAAAGACTTTTTTTAATATAAAATACTTATCTTAATGAAAAGTCAGTTTTATTATAAAAGCTTTATAATGAATACTAAAACATTTTAAAAAGCTTTTTAGTAAAAAGACTTTTTTTAATATAAAAGATCTTAATGAAAAGGTTTTTTTAATATAAAAACTTTATAATGAAAAGTAAATCATTCTAAATAAGCTTTTTAGTAAAAAGACTTTTTTTAATATAAAATATCTTAATGAAAAGTCAGTTTTATTATAAAAGCTTTATAATAAATACTAAAACATTTTAAAAAGCTTTGTAGTAAAAAGACCTTTTTAATATAAAATATTTTAATGTAAAGGCTTTTTAATATAAAAGCTTTTTAATTAAAAGTAAACCATTTTAAAAAAGCTTTTAGTAAAAAGACTTCTTTTAATAAAAATACCTTAATAAAAAGGCTTTTTTAATATAAAAGCTTTATAATGAAAAGTAAAGCATTCTAAAGAAGGTTTTTAGTAAAAAGACTTTTTTAATATAAAAGATCTTAATAAAAAGGCTTCTTTAATAAAAAAGCTTTATAATGAAAAGTAAAGTATTTTAAAAAAGCTTTTTAGTAAAAAGACTTTTTCTAATATTAAAGATCTTAATGAACAGGCTTTTTTAATATAAAAGCTTTATAATGAAAATTAAAGCATCCTAAAAAAGCTTTTTAGTAAAAAGACTTTTTTAATATAAAAGATTTTAATGAAGCTTTATAATAAAAAAGCTTTTTTAATATAAAACTTTTTAATGAAATGTTTTTACGTGAATAAACAAATGAATCATTTAAGTAAAAATTTCCTCTAAAAAGTTTTTTAATAACAAAGTTTTCTATAAAAAAAGTTTTTTTTTAACTCTTTTTAATGCTTTTTAAAAAATTGTTTAAAGCTTTAAGTAAAAAAAAAATAAAAAGCTTATAGTAAAAACTTAAAAAAAGCTTTTTATTAAACTTTTCGAAGCTTGAAAAGTGTTTTATGTAAAAACGAAAGAAAGAAGCTTTTATGGTTTTGTGAAAATAGCTTTATATAAAAAAGTGAATAATATTTTATCGTAAAAAAAGCTTTCTTCAAAAAACTTTATGGTAAAAATATTTTGATTTTACGGAAAACCATATTTTATTAAACGAAACACTTTAAATTTAAAACTTTTTTACGAATATAAAAAAGTTCTTTGAAGGACTATTTGTTATAATTTGGCATGAATTTAAAAAATGTTTAAAAATTAAAGGAATTTAAAAAAAAGCATTGCGGACACTTAATAAAAATGATAGATTACGTATACGCCACAGAAAAATCTCAACAATATTAAATGAAAAATGTCGTGACAAAGACAAATTGAATTGAATACTTAGCGGTCTATAACATTTAAAAATAACAACAAAAATATAATTAATTTCCTTAATAAAAAGAAATACACAAATATAAAGTCATTAAAACCCAATTAAATACTTTTCATACCACCATCGCATTACCACCACCTCTTACAAATGCTGCATCATACATCTTAAAGTTGAGTATGTAAAATAAGTATGTAAATTGCAACATGTTGTTACTATTACTCAAAATACTCATTATTACATTAGTAATAAAATAATATTTAACTTGTTTGTATTTGTCGTCATCGTCATTAAATGTTTACAACTCAACGTCTTCTTTTTTATCTTAAGATTAAGACTAGACTGTCTTCTAAAGAAACGAAGACGAAATAGCTAACAACACTTCACCAACAATTACAATAGCGTTATAATCGTCATCATTATCATCATCATCGTCTTCTTAATCCACTCTGCCACGCAACTTTATAGTTTTCCTTCTTCTTCGTTTTTTTTTTTTTTTTTGTTTCTTTTTCTTCTTGTCTAATTTTAACAATTTTCATTTTCTTCTATTTGTCTTCTCGTTTTCGTAGAAATTATGTGAATTAAATTATTTAACAACAACATTAAAAATGAAAATGCTGAAAACCACATTTTCTTGACGCGTTAGTTAATTTCTAGGCGTATTTAAGTCTTACTCACTCACTTTTACACTTACATTTTTATTATTACCCTGCAGTATTGTGGTGACTGTCCCCTAGTTAGAAAATAAGCTTTTAGGCAGCTTTTGGACAAAGTCAATTGGTCATTAACTAGCTAAAACCCCACTTCTCTGCAATTACAAATAAAACATTTACTCTACTCTGTATTTCTTGTACTGGTTTCAATAACTCCTGTCCGCATTACTAAGGGACAGTAAAGTAGCCATTTGTAGCTCAAAATATCATAAAAGATTCTAAATATGTTAATTAAAATTAATCAATTAGTTAAATATTTTGGAGGTATATTGACTCCCTTCTAAACTTCTGGGTTTTCATTCATAAAACTGAAATTAAACAGTTTCGTGTAATTTTACAGATTCATCATAATTGTAGACAAAATTTTCATTTTTATCTACGTTACGTTTTACTTGCTACATGTAGAGTTAAGTACTTAGTAGCGTTTTTTAAATGGAATTGTGGCAGTAGTACAAACATTCGTTTATAAAAACAGAGTAATGAAATTAAATTTCATTTTCCTTAAATTGATATTTTACACAAAATAATTTTAAATTAAAATCATATTAAAGCAAAGGCTTGATTTTTAATAACATTACTATAGAATTAATTGAAGTTTTACTAATTACAATTAACTGCAATTAACGGTTAAACAATTACAACTACTTGTATTTGTAATTGATAAAAAAGTAATCATTAACTTGTTCTTATTACTTTTTCAATTACAAATAATTGATAATAACAATTAAAATTAATAAAACTTCAATTAGAATTACAAGTAATTGATTATTGCACAGTAATGGTAATTGACCATGTCTTGAATTACTTAAGGTAATTTTGTTTTAATCTAAAATGTTCATAAGTTTGGGTGATGACAATTGCAATTTCAATTACTTGACATTACAAGTAATTGTAATTAAAACTTTAGCAATTATTCAAATTTTAATGTAATTATTACCCAGCAAAAACTAGGTAATGGCTTTCAATTGTAATTACTTACCTAACAACACACTTTTCAATGACTACTACAGATCGTCTGGATTACATAGAAGTAGTTTAATAAGGTCTTACTAATAATGTGTTATATAAATACTTTCTAATTCATTAGTCATCTTGCCAGTGAAGATATAGAAGCTGTATACGTTTTTTCATGCGATTTACAATGACTACTTTTTCTAATTACTTGTAATCGTTTGTGGTAAGTACTTGTCTCCAATGACATCACCGTGTTAAAATAATGATGTAAAATGCTATTGAGTAAGTATATTTTAGCATTTTAACCACTTACATGGTAATTAAAATTTTTTCTGGGTACTTATCATTACCTACAACTCCGATTTTTTAATGTATACATTCTTTTTAATTTCTGCCGTTCTGTGGCAAGTGATATTCCTTTCACTTGTGAAAAAAACCAACATAAAAACTAAATTAATTTTGTGCTGTTAAAATGTCAGTTCGTATTACAAGTTAAAAAATACGTATTTTGTATTTTTCTTTAAAAAGGAGGTATTTTTGTTTATTTAACAGTTTAGGTTAAAAGTTTAAATAAATATTTGTCAGAAAAT